CGCTTTCCTCGCCCTCACACCGCCGGCCCAGAACAGATCCAGGGCTCTTCCTTCCCTGTAGGAGCGATGAGCGGTAGAACGGTCAGGACGGACGGAGAGCAGAGATCTCTGAACCAGCTCCTGGAACTTGGGGTTTATTGCAAAGGGCCCTGCTGGGAGCTGCCAGCCACAGCTCAGAGCAGGGCCCAGAGAAGTGAAGAGAGTGGTAAAGAGGAGGAGAGAGAGAGAGTAAAGGAGGATAAGAGGGCAGTGTTCCCGTTGCAATACAATAAATCTTCTGTGTTGAATATTCTGACTCTCACTAACCAGTCTGGTACAATATACAAATCCTGTAGCATTTCCATACAGCCTATAAGAATCATTACATTACCATAATGTGTTACATTTTAAACCCTATAAACTCCTCTTTAGGCCCCTTCTGCTCAGCTAGTAGACCTTGGACCTGCCTGCAAGCAGAGGGTGTTGTTCCATCAAAAGGAGATTGCCTTCAGTCTGGCCGCACCATTGTTTTCCAGTTGTTCAGTAAGTGAGGGATCTCAAAGCTTGATTTCATTTCAATCTCGCTTATAGTTTCTATATTCTCAAAATCTTTTGCCAGACAATCATATTTATAAGGCTTTCCTGTTTCATCTTCCCCAACACTTCCCTTTGTACATCCCTAATGTTGTCATAGAAAAAAACTCCGAACCCGTGTCTTTCATTGCAAATACAATGTACCTACATTTGGTTTAACATCAAAAGTGCTTAAAAATACCATACAAGTGCTATCTGGGGAGATTTCTTTCTCTGGTATGAATCATGTCTTTAATTTAGTCAGTTACTTTCTATTTATGTCAAGTCTATTAATAGCCCAACACCTGCAGTTGTCTTGATCCAGAAGAAAATGGACTTTTGCAAACAAAATCAAAACCTTTACACTGTAGTTTTCTTCAATAAGTAATGATAATGAACTCTGCTTGCTTTAAATATTGTGTGCATTTTTAAACTAACACATACAATATTGCCCCAGGGTATTTTCTTAACCCTACAGAGAAATGCTTTGTATTTTTATAAATACAGCAGCTGTAGCTCTTTCTCAGGCACACAGTCATGTTGGAAATAAACTGCTGAAATATGTAGTGAGGGATTATGAAAATACTTGATTTATAATTTAGATCTCACAAAACTATGAAAATTAATTATGTATTTGTTTTATGGGAAAAAAATAACATGTAAGAACAACTACATTGTCTACAAGAAACGAAGCTTTAAAAAATATATTTAAGTCAATTGTGAAGCTCTACTTTTCACTAATAATCTTCTTGGTTAAGAAAGGAAAATGCATCAATATTAAATCACAAGTAGGGAATTATCCTTTCAGGACTGCCAGGCTGTACAGGAGCCCTGAAGATCTGAGCCCCTGCCATGCCTGGATGCTGGGGAGTAGGATCCTGATGGCCACTCAGAAAATCCTTGTTTAAGACCTTTACAAGCCTGCAGGGATTTTGTCTGTGGAGGCTCAGTAGTAAGAAAGTAAATTCAAAACAGAAAGCAGTGTAAGCTCTGTTTCTCCTAAAATCAGTGGAAGGCTTCCCTTATTTTCAGTTTTAGAAGACCGGAGGGGGAAAAAAACCCACAACAACTAAAACAACAACAAGCCACCCAACTCCTGAGGCCAACTGTGAATTAGCATCTCATTTTCTAGTGGGCACCACTGGGTACATTTAACTTTGTTAGTGCTGTTTTTGCTTGTGTTACCCTAAAACTTCATAAAATCAGGAGCATGTGTAAAAGCAGATCAGTGCTGCTTCCATTCCAGATTGGTTTGACTTTGTTTTGCCCTGTGTACCACGAGTGTCATGCTCCTGTGCAGAGCTGCAAACCTCCAGCTGTGGTAGGAGTAACAGCATCTTACCTCTGCTCCTCTGGAAGGAAAGGGATGCACCCATGGAGATGGCTTTCTATGGAAGGCTCCAGGACATACAGTCCTCAAGACCCTTTCTTGATATTTAAAAATTAATTGAGTCCTTCCACTTCATGGATTAAGTTCATTTCAAATAAATAAAAACAGAATCCAGCTTTTGGATTTCAGTATTCCATATTCTCAGTAACAATATGTGGACATGTAGCTTTGTGTGGAATTCAAGGCTCAGGCCTTCCCAGTTTCTTTTCCTTTGCACAGGTTCAAAATGTTTTTCTTCATCCCCTTCAGCTGTCAGGGAGAAATGCATGCTTCTGTTCAGTGGATTTCTCCTCATTCAGACAAGTCCAGCTGCATCCAGGTATTGATCCCAAGCATTGCAGCACAGTGAGCTGCTATGATCACAACTCTTATTTGCTGTAGTTAAAACAAAAAGGTAAATGGGAAAAGAAGGGAAGGTCAGGTACCAATTTTATTGCATCAAGTTTAAATATCCTTGATATTAGCATGTTTCTTTTTTAGTTTCAAATATATCATCAGAAAATGGGCTTAATAGCAAAGAAAAATTGTTTTACAAAGAGTTGTTATTCTGTTATGTTTGAAGCCCCAGTATTTCAATATTGAAAATGGGAAACACAGAATATTATAAAAAATAATGTCTGTTTACTTACATTTGTTCAATTAATAAACAATACAAAGAGCCAAGAGATAAAAGATTAAGCTTTTAATATATTTTAAGGTGATGTTTATTCTGTATTGAGTATTACCAGAAAAAGTCACTTAAAAATCATTGTTAGAAGAATGTCTTGATAAACTTTTCAAGTGATTGTAGGAAATACTTTGGGTCTAAGGCCTGTCTGTAAGAAAACAAATTACACTGGGTAATCTCTCACCTGATCACAGTGTTTAGGATTTAAGCTTTGTCCAGTAGATGGCAAAAATGAGCAGAAATTATTTCTTTGAAGTCCTTTTGGTCCAGAGAAGAGAGAGGGAAGGCAGGGCACTGTGGTATTTTAGCACCAGGATGGAGCTGTCTGGCTCCTGGCTGAGAGGAGCATTGCAGGTACACCAGGGCTGTGCTGGGCTGCCAAACAGGGCTGCTCTGTAGCAGCCTTGCTTATACTAATTGAGTTTCTCCAGCAAATCAGGCTCCTTGGAAAAAGGCCAAAGGCTTTTCATAATTGTATTGACAAGAAAATGAATATGATAAATGGTGTTCATTCAGCTGAGACAAGATTTATAGTTTTCCTCTGGCAAGGGATGAAGAGAAAATATTTATAATAATAGTAAAATTTGTTTTTAAGTTGTGTTAGGTGATCTCTCAAAAGACTTCATTAAAATATTTCCAAATATTTTAAGCAGCTTCAGGTGTTAAGTGTAGCATCCTCCCAAGTATCCAGTAATGAACAATAAAAAAAAAAAAAGCAAAAAACAACACACAAACAACCAAACCAAGAAAACCAACCCCCTGGATATGAAAGTCATTTATTCTTCCTGAAATATTGATATGTCAAGCTGTCAATGACGATTGCAGTACCACAGCTTGGGAAAGTTTATTTGTCTTTTGTATTCAGAACATGTGGGCTGTGTAGTTTGTGAGTCAGGTCTGAATGAGCAGGTGTGGCCTTGGCAAACCCTGAGTACCCACAGGTAGACAGGCAAAACCTGGTTTTCCCCAACAGTGGTGATTCTCCTTAGGTATTTTAGTCTACTTCCAGGCTGCCTGGGTAAGATGTTGAGTGTTTAATCTGTTTTTTCCATACTAATACCAGAATGCAGTCTAAGGTCCTTAGCCTGGAGTCAGATACATCCATGAAAATTCAGTTATGAGTTCAGGGAAATATCCACCTTTTTGTTTTTTCACTTAGTGTTTCTTAGTTGAGTGGGAACCCAGAGCAGTCCATTCCTGTGCTCCTCCCAGCTGATGCTTGGGTTTAAGGATTTCTGTTCTCTCTAAAAGAAAGAGGTTGCAATAAGAAAATGGGTTGGAAGAATGAAGTCATTAGGTTTACTCTGAGCTGCAGCTCAGTCACACCTGATGTCTGTGGGTGAGTGCATGAAGCTGTCTATAGAAAATACCTGAGTGTACACAGACTCTGAGCTCACAGAAAAATGACCTGCCATGGACAGGGGTCATCTCATGCTCATTTAAAACTTGCAGTTGAGCTGGATACTGGGCTGGCTGATCCTGTGCTGCTCCAATTGTGGATTACTGGGACAAGCAGGACAATCTTTTCACCAAACTGACAGTGTTACATATTCAAGTCCAAATTCAAATCATATTTCTTAACCAAATAAAACCATGAACAGTAGTAAGATGGCTTCTTCAACATTATTCTGATTTTGAAGAACTAAATTTTTGATTGTGTGTTTTAACTATTCAGGTTTAGGTGCAAGCTTGAAAGAGCCAAACTGCTGCAGAGACTGAAGTTTCCTAATCACAAGAAGAGAACGCATTTCTCATGAGGCAGTAATCTCTTTGTAAGAGCAGTTATTGCCCACTTACAGGGACTTAAACTTCAGTATTGTTTTTTGCAGCTTGAATTCCTTTGAGCTTGAACTGACTGCTCAGGTTAAGTTCATGCCTTAGCCAGATTCCTTGAAGCTTGTGGTTAGAAACACTTAAAAATAATACTCTGCTTAAAACCAATTTATTCCATCTTATTGGATTTATAAAAGAAGCAATAAATTGCCAAAGCCTTTCTGTTGACCCTGACTTTTATAAAATTTGACTGTAGTTTCCAGTCTTTCCTGGTCAATGAATATGGACTCAATGCTTCAGGTTTCTGAATTAAGAAGTATCCTGGATGTATCAGCAGCCTTTGCTGCTGGCTTACATTTTGCTTGGAGGGTTTGCTGTCAATTTACTCTCCTTGCCATGAAATCTGAAAAGGTGATTGCTTTCTATGCCATGAAGTTCCACATGAGGCTGTGCAGCCTGGCAGCCTCTCCCTGCAGTGCTGATACAGCACTGAGGGTGCTCACAAAGCTGAGGAATGGGGATGGCTCAGGAGAATCAGTAACACAGCTCAGTTCTGTAGCTTACCTGGCATCTGCTGCGTTTGGAGAATGACCACCCTCTCCTGAGAGTGAGCTGTATTGGAAGTGTACCTCGGTAAAAATGCAGCTGCCATTAGTGAGCTTTCAGAGGGATGAGATGATGTGAGTCATCTGTGCCCTTTGAGAACATCTTGGGTAAGTGAGATTTGAATTTAAATCCCAGTTTATTACTGGACAGCTCTCCATGGTGTGCTTAACTCGTTTGTTGGATTCCAAATGTGAGGAACTCCATGAAGGAGAGAGAAGCAAGGTCTAAAGTACATTTATCATGTCAGCCTTTTCCCCTGTATAGCTCAGCTGCAGAGCCTGGGGCAGGTGGCTGCAGGATGCAGCAGTGTGGAGCTGCCTCAGGCAGCAGCAGTCCATCCATCCATCCATCCATCTGTCTGTTCATCTGTCTGTCTGTCCATCTGTCCATGCAGTGCTGCCGTTGATTGGCAGGGCTGTGGCTGGGTTTCATCTCCACCCCAGAGCAGAGCTGGGGCTGCATGGCCTGGAGGTGTGAAACCCTTCCTGTATGTATATATATATAAATCCATTTAATTGTACTCTGTAATCAGCAAATGTGTGTGTTTGTTTGTTTCTTTCTTTCTTTTTGAAGTGAATCCATTGCTGTGTTCAGCTCTGATGAAGATCTGAATATTTTTCTGTTATTTTTAAAATCACAGCATTTAAGTGTTGATGGATCATCTCCAAACAGAATTCTTCCCTTCAGAGAAGCCAGGAAAGTGATGTGTCCATTGGTAGGTATTCATTAATGGTTCCTCTGCAGTGTAATCCTTTGCCTGGCTTGTGATGTGAAAGTTCTGTGAGTTGTTAGTGCTGAGCAGGGCTGGATTTGGGGAATCCCCAGCAGGACTGGGAGGTGCTGCAGCCAGAGCCACCTTGCCAGTGCAGGGCTCAGGCCTCGGGAGCTCTTGATCCCTGGCCTGGGGTTCGCCCCTCTACCAGGGCTGCTTGTGTCCCTTTTACCCCAGGGCTGCTCATGTCCCTTTACCCCAAGGCTGCTCATGTCCCTTCACTCCAAGGCTGCTCGTGTCCCTTCACCCCAAGGCTGTTCTGTTCCTTTACCCCAGGGCTGCTCATGTCCCTTTACCCCAAGGCTGCTCGTGTCCCTTCACTCCAAGGCTGCTCGTGTCCCCTTCACCCCAAGGCTCTCTGGCAGCTGCAGATGTGTTCCAGATGTGTTCCAGCAAAGATGCACCTACTCATGAGGTGTTTGGTCCGGGCTGATTGATAGGTGTGGGATGATTTTATGGATTCAAATTATATTCCAGCTCTTCCAAAACATAATAGGACCATAACAGCTCTACCCTAGAGCACTGTTAAAAGTGTTTATAATAAGTTGCTCCATTTTACTACTCCCACTCATGCCTGCAACTGCAACAGGTCTCTGACACTAGCAGTTGGTATGACACCCCAACTGATATTGCAGATGATTTTGCTTTCTCAATATTTAGAAAGGAACATTACCAAGTTTTTGTAGAGAAACCTCATTTGTAGTTTGTGTAAACTGGAAAAGACATTAATGGCTTGTTTCATTTAAAGAAAGAAAATTGGCCCATCGAAGTTGCTTTTATTGCATTCATTCAGACTGATTTTGGGGTCTGGAAATTGTTTGTTACATGGCTGCCTTTATAAAAAACTTCAAATGTGATGTTCCATTTGATCTGTCAGACATGGAAACAGTATCTGTGCAACGCCTAAAGCATTTATTTGTAACAGAAAAAAAAAATTACACACAAGTAAGTTTCAGTTTTTGCAAAATAATTTTTGTTTCCTTTGCAAATGTACTGTGTTGTGACCAAATTTTTTCAGCTGTGTTCTTAAGTACATTTGTTTAAATGATTAAGCAAAATAAAAACAAGCTTTGAAAATGTGTGAAAGATAAAAGGCAAATCTTTAGCTGATCTAAAAATATATAAAGTGTAGTCATGATGATGATTCAGCCCTGTTTGTCTTATGGTAGCTGATCGCACTGCAATCATATTTTCCTTTTTAATTTTTTATTTTAATTTATTTCCATCAGCATTTACCATCCTTTCTGCACTTAGGAAAAACATAACCATATTATTGGGCATCCATTCAGCTCAGTTGTTGGCATCAAGTTTCTAAACCTTGCTGAGTAAACCACACGAGTTGTTTTCAACCTGCTTCATTCCTAATTCATGCCCAAAAAATCCCTGAAAACCTCTGTAAAGAAACCTTCTGTTTTCAATTGCAGCTTTTATGGTGTGTATGCAGTTGATAAAATTTCCAGCCCTAAGGTATTGGTAACTCTTACACATAAGGACCAGACAGCATTTTCTGACTCATGCTGGGATTTAATTGTGCAGTGGGAAAAGGAATCTGAGCCCAGTGCAGATCTGGGAGCAAAAACTGAGCACTAAAGCCATGGGGCCCCTGGGAGCTGTGTCCAGAGTCTGATCACCCTCTTTGCTAAATTATGGGAGAGATCCTTAGGACTGTGTGGCACCTCCTCAGAGGTGTGCCCCACAGCAAAGGGGAGGTGAGCAGAGAATCAGACTGGGATGGGTTGGAAGGACCTGCTAAAGGTCACTGAGTACATCGCTGCAATAGGCAGGGGTATCTTCTGCCCCCAAGAGCTTTCTCCTGTGTTCTCTTCCATGTATTTTGTAACTGCTTTCCTAGGGAAGGATGACATTTCACCCAGCACAGGTTTAAGAGTGCTGTGCTTAATCTCCTCCAGAAGAAACATTTAAAATCACCCATCAGCTAAAAGCAGAGGAAAAATGGAGATGTGGAAAGAGCCTCCCCCAGTGTCTGTGGGGTTTATTTTGCTTTAAAGCACATGCATGTGAACATCAGGGTCCCATGAGTGATCCCTCCAGCACTCAGGTGTGACTCAAGAGGAACTGTGCAGCTTTTCTGTTGGGTGAGTGACTGCCAGGATTTATGCTGGGCAGAGCCCACTCTTGGGAATCCACCCCAGGATTTATTCCCACACGAGCCCTGCCCATGTGGGAACAGGGATTTCACAGGATGCAGCTGGCACAGCTGGACAGCACAGCCTGGCCATCACCTGCTGGGCTCTGGGCATGGAGTGAGCCTCACTCAGCCCCATTTCACACTGCTCTGGGAAGGTTTCCCTGCCCACTGTAAATATTTCAAGATACTACAACTGATCAGCACTGAATAATGGCTGTTGGGATTTTTAGCTGTTGTCACCAAGTGGTAGTTTCTGAGATTTCTGAGATTTCTGTTCCAGTGTACAGAAAGATGTAATTTCTGGAAATGTGCTTCATTAATGAATCTTTTGAACTTACAAATTCTTATAAAAGTACTGATAGAAAGGAATTTTGCATTATTTTCCAATACCTTCCTGAAAATCTTAATAATTTTATTTTTAATGAAAACTGTAATCCATAATAGTCTATGATCTTTTAAAGTGTATTTGTCTTTTAAGCCTGTGTAATCTTGGCAGACATCTGGGGAAAAACAAACAAGTAAACCAAGTGATGATCATAAAATTCACTTTGGGTTCTTGAACAGTGTTTCCAGACCCTGAATTTTCCAATTCTGAAAAACTGTGTGATTTGGATAAAAGAATAAACTCATACATGCCTTCTAATCCTGGGGCTCAGTTTTCAAGTTTTCTTCTGTACCATTCTTCCAAGTAACTTAAAATCACAAAAATAGTTGAGATTCTCTCACTCAGCATGATTTTATGATTGAAGTATTAGAAAAAAATAGGAGATGCACAGCAAATGTCAGGAGATGACAGACAGAATGTGCTCATTTATCTTACCAAGTCAGCCAGACCTCTTGTGTGTGCCTGCAGCTTATGGTGAGCTTCTCAGAGCTGATCAAAGGCACATTTTAACTCAAGATAGATTTGACTGAAATTTATATTATAATAATTTCCTTTTTAAACTGGGAGAAACACAAGGTGATGGCATGAAGCAGAGGGGGGGAAATAGAAGCGAGGATCTCCTTCTTTCCTCACACTGTCCTTTGCAGGAAGGCGCTTCCTTTCAGTCTCTTTGTCAATTAATCCACTGACTGAGAGGATTGCCATAAACTCTGCCCAGGCTCCTCTCATCCCTGTGAAGTTCTATTTTCCACCACCTGGAGCCCTGGCAAACCCTTGTCTGAACCCCTGGCTTCCAGCTGGCTCCTAGGGAAAGACTTGGTCCCTCTGCACAGACAGTACAGCTCAGCCTGGCTGCTCCTTTTTCTGAGAAGAACAGAACATAAAGCAATAAAAAAATATGGCTTTATGGTATTGTGCTTCCATTGGTAAGTGAAATTTAAATTTGTTTTAGAACAGGATTTTTCCTCCTCTTTTATATGCAATGATACACAGAAAATGCATGTAAAGGTATTGTTTTCAGGAATTTCATTTGCACCAAATGAAACACAAAAATTTCTGGTTAAGTCCTAGGTCAACTTGGAGTTTTCTTGCTATGTAAACCTACAGGTATATTGTTGCGGTGTGTTGCAATGTCCTGTTTTAAACTTCCGGTCCCTTCCCAGGTGTGCCTATACCTTCTCCCTTCCCCCTCGCCCCTCGCTGAGTGTGCCCTGTCAGTCAGGCTAACATACCAGCAAGGCGTCGTGTGATTGGTCCCTCAGGCCTGGGGGACATTGGCCCGTATAGGTGTCCCTAGTCCCTTGAGACCCTGCCCCTTCACCTGGT